CATTGGCCGCGGCGACCGAGCTCCGCCTCCTCGCGGCTCCCGACGGCGCGGCAGGTGGAAGTGAGCGCGCGCTGGTAGGGACTCTGAATCCCCCAAAAAGCGCATCCTAGGTGCTTGGGTTGCCAGATTCGGGCCCTCCTTCCCTCGAGGCCCTTGTTTCCTACCTTGGCACCCCTTCTTGGGCTGGCTTTCGGGCCAGGAGACGGGCTCCCTTCCTCCGTCCAGCTCCTAGAGCTGGAGGAGCCAAGAGAACGAGGAGGTATTAGTGGCCTGAATATGCGACCTTCCAGAGGTGCTGTCAACCGGGGGGACTGGAAAGGCACCAGGAACCAATATTTTAGTAGGCAGAGGTCTGGGTCCCCAGATTTGGAGGCACGAGGTGTAGACCACCTCAAGACCACGGGGGAGGGTGGCTACTGTGGCCCTAGTCTTCTGCAGAAGGAGACTGGGACGCTGTTGGTTTTGAGTGATCTGGGTCCTTCTAGGGTTCAAAAGGTAAGGACTAGCACTCCCCAGTGCAAGGGAACTCCGCACTGCTCCGAAGGGGGTGAAAAGGTTTGGGGCTCAGTGTTCTGGACAATCATCGCTGGAGTCATGGAGCTCCGGGAAACCACGGATCCTTCTCGGACCCCACAAAACTGGGGTGGGTGGATCTGCCACGGGGCTCCTGATTGGTCCTCCTGACAGTGGAGTCATGCTCGCTCTCTGCTAGGGGGAACCTGGCCTCTCTCTAAGGCGTTGGGGCTGGCGCAGCCTCCTTTGGTGCGCGGGCGCAGGTGCATGTTTACGTCGGGGCACGGGAACTAGCACACACTGGGGCGGGGTCGCCGGGGCGTGAGGCTTCAGCACCACAGACAGCAATCCGACAGTTCGGTCGAGGGCGCTGCCAGCAAGGTAGCCCGGACCCCCTAACTGGAGAGCGGCAGTCCCCACCCTATCGTCGTTCCTGCACGCCCTTTAGGCTCCAGACTGTCAGAGAGCGCCACCAGCGAGGAGAGCCTAATTTGCCCAATCAGGGGCGGCCCTTGAGATAACCAATTACTGGAAGATGCCCTAGAGATCAAGCCAATGGGAGCGCGCGCACCAGAGGATGCTGCCACGCCTGGGGAGGGCAGGCCAATCGCTGTGACCCGCGCAATAGGGGCGGTGGCGGTGCGGGTCCCCGAGTGGCCCCTCATGGGCTCGCCGGGGCGACCTGACTGCGGATGCTAGGGGCCCCAACCGATGGTCTGTTCCCCACCCCATGCTCCTCCCGGTTTCCGTCATCGGAAGCTGTGCTAGAAGGGGGGCTGCTCCTGGGCGCGCGGACCCCGCTGCGGTTCCCATGGAAACCTGCCGGCTCCGGCTGTGCGGGGAGAGTGGAGGGGACCTGCCTCAGCTGGGAGGGAGCTCGCGGGGGCGGCCCCAGCGGCCGGACTCGCTCATCCTCGCCGATTCTTCTGTCCCCGGCTGGGGTAGCCCCCCGGTCCGCAGCAGAAACTGAGGCGTAGCTGGGGCCCCGCCCCATCCCCCAAGCTGGTGAGAAGCCGGCGGGGCCAATCTGCGCGTGGCGCCACAGGGCTCCCCCGGGCACGTGCCTGAGCTCGCGGCTGCGGTCCCCAGGGTCACGTGGCTGCGGCCACCGGAGCCTACGCGCCTCGCACGCCACCTAGCGGACGCACCTCGCTCCCCGCCCCTCTCTCTAGCGGCCCGCAGGAGGCGGCGGCCTCAGCATCCTCCTCCGGGAAATGGGGCCAGGGCAGCCGCCGCCAACTCCCCTTCCCCCCGCGGCTTCCTGTTTTAGGAACACGCCGAGCTGGTTCTACCTCGGGGCTTTGGCACTGGCTGTTCCTCTGGCCTGAGAATTTCCTCCCCCAGCTTTCTTCAAGGATAGATCTTTGTCATTCTGGCCTATGCGCAAATGTCACCTCCTCAAAGGCCCTCCCTGACCACCGACCTAAACAGCATCCCCAGAAAACAACGCATCACTCTCTCTTTTGCATGGTGCTTGTCGCTAGCTGCAGATGTTTCTCATTTTAGGGGTTTACTGAACACCTCCCCATCTCATCCCAGAAGCTCGCTGAGGGTGGGACATGGGTGCTCCATAAAACAGGAGGAGTGGGCATTAGGGTCCTGAGTTCTGGGAGATGCCCAGAGACCCCAGACCCCCAAGTCCCACCCCATCCTGTGGGAGCAGGGGCTGTGCGGGACTGCCGGGCCCAGGGACATCCCTCGTTCCCGGCCTCGCTCAGGAAGGGATCAGGAGATCAGAGAGGGACCTGGCACCCCAAATCATTCAGGCCTAGGGGAAGGGCATCTCCTTTCTCGCTCTTTAATCTCACTCTGCTCTCTTGACAGTTCCAGCAATGCAGCCCCAGGTACCAGCTCCGAGAAGGATGCGGTGGGGCGGGGTGGGGAACCTGCCCAGGGGGCCCAGCCCTGGGGTGGGGCGAGGGCGCCTCCTTCCGGCCCGCGGTCCGGGCGGCCCTCGCAGCTGTCCAGGCCACAGCAAGCCCGGGAGTGGTGTCCGAGCGGACGAATAAATAGGGGTGGTCAGTCGTCAGGTGGGTCAGGTGGGCTTGTGATCCGGGTGGCTTTTGAGCGTGTGGAACTTGACGCTGTCCAGCTTCTCAAAGCGCTTCCCGCAGCGATCACACGTGAAGTTATACTGCACCTCCGCAGTGTGCTTCTTCATGTGCCAGTTGAGGGACGCCCGCTGCCGGCACTGGTAGCCACAGATCTCGCACCTGCCAGGAGCCCGTGGCGGCACGGGGCGGGATCAGAGTGGGCGGGGCGGGGCCCTACAAGGCCGAGCGCAGGTGGAACTGGGCCCAGGCACTGTGTGGGGGCGAAGCTGCCCCTGGGACCTGCTGGGATCCCCTCCCCACCCAATCCTCTAGCGGCACGGGGCGGCCTGTCACTCACTGCAGGGGAGTCTCGCCGGTGTGCGTGCGCCGATGTACCTCCAGGTGGTTCTTCCTCTTGAAGGACTTGCCGCAGGTCTCGCAGGTGAATTCACGGACACCTGGGAGAGGTGGGGACCAAGGCTGAGGACGGTGGGCTATGGGGTGTCTCTGATGTGCTGCAGATTGTGATGCTAGAAGGAGCATCGGGCTGTATCCTTGGATCTCCCAGGACTGCAGGTGCAGGCCGACCGAACCCTACGTCCTTCCCACGAAATTGCCCAGAAACGCAATCAAGCAGAGCTGAGATCGAACTTGGGTCCCTGAGGGGCATAGGGTGCAAACTGCCAAGCCAACGTGGGTTTGAATTTGTCGTGTGTGTGTGTGTGTGTGTGTGTGTGTGTATTTTGAGATGGAGTTTCGTTCCTGTTGCCCAGGCTGGAGTGCAATGGCCCAGTCTCGGCAACCTCTGCCTCCCGGGTTCAAGCCATTCTTCTGCCTCAGCTTCCCAAGTAGCTGGGATTACAGGCGTGCGCCACCCACCATGCCCAACTAATTTTGCATATTTAGTAGAGACGGGGTTTCTCCACGTTGGTCAGGCTGGTCTCGAATTCCTGACCTCAGGTGATCTGCCTGCCTCGGCCCCCAAAGGGCTGGGATTACCACCGTGCCCAGTCTTGTCCCCGATATTTGAACTTTGGGTGATTTTGCATAAAAAAGAAATCTTCTGCCCAGCGGCTCACACCTATAATCCCAGCACTTTAGGAGGCCAAGGAGGGCAGATTGCCTGAGGTCAGGAGTTGGAGACCAGCCTGGCTAACATGGTGAAACCCCATCTCTACTAAAAAAAATATACAAAAATTGACTGGTGTGGTGGTGGGCGCCTGTAATCCCAGATACTTGGGAGGCTGGGGCAGAAGAATTGCTTGAACCTGGGAGACAGAGGCTGCAGTGAGCCGAGATCAGATTCCAGCCTGGGCAACAGAGTAAGACTCCATTGCAAAAAATAACCATATACACATAAAGAAAAAAAAAACCCAAACTTCTGATCTCCTGTGATATCAGCAGCTCTGGCCCTCAGCGCCATGCCCTATCGCTGGACACACGCACCATGGCTCTCCACTGGGTCCCTAGCCCAGGCAAAAGACCTGCATCTCTGCCGCAAGTGGAAACAGAAGCCCAGTCCCAAGCCAGCTGCTCCTCTCTGCCCAGCTCTCCTTCCTGCTGCTGCTTGGGTGGGTACTGGTCTGGCCTGTGGCCCCAGGTGCTATTATAGGTTCCAATCTGGAAGAGCAGTGGCGGTGTCAGCTGCTCCCTAAGTCTTGCATGAGACCTGCTCATAGGCTCATGGAGCATGGGGTCGTGGGAATAGGAGGGAAGAAGGCCAGCCCCACCCAATTCCTGTGATTGATTGGTAACAGTCCCTGTCGCTGTGGCTCACATAGTTACAGCTTACTGAGGACAGGGAGGAAGCTCCTGGGGTGTAGCCCTGTGCCTGGAGACCCAGCACTGGGCTTTGACCCGCCAGCCCTGGCCCAGGCTCCCAGCCCCATGTCCCTGTGTCCCCTGCTCATGCAGCCAGCTGGCCCAGGGCCTGACCTGAATGGATGATCATGTGCCGCCGCAGGTGGTTGGATAAATAGAACTTCTTGCCACAGCCAGGATGAGGGCACACTTTGGTCTTTCCTTTCCGATGCACAAGATTGACGTGGTTCTGGGGACGAGACGGGCAGGAGTGGGTCCCACAGGCCCACGGAAGGGGCTCTGGGAGGTGGGGAGAGATGAGGGCAGCTGGAAGGCAGGCTGGGGCTGGCCTCCCCAGGAGAAGGCGAAGAGGGGTACCCTTGCCCAGCTCAGAGATTCCCAGGGGCACAACTGGGGTTAAAAGGCAGCTTTTCTTATTTTTTGAGATGGAGCGTTGCTCTGTTGCCCAGTCTGGAGTGCAGTGGTGCAATCTCGGCGCACTGCAAGCTCTACCTCCCAGTTTCATGCCATTCTCCTGCCGCAGCCTCCCGAGTAGCTGGGACTACAGGCACCTACCACCACACCGGCTAATTTTTTCTTTTTGTATTTTTCAGTAGAGACGGGGTTTCACTGTGTTAGCCAGGATGGTCTCGATCTCCTGACCTCGTGATCTGCCCGCCTCAGCCTCCCAAAGTGCTGGGATTACAGGTGTGAGCCACCATGCCCGGCCAAGGGCAGTTTTATTGAACACCTACTATATGCCAGGCTCTGGACTGGGGTATCTGTCAACTCTGTGAAGGGCCCAGCTCTTAGCCCAATTAATCGATGGGGAAACTGAGGTTCAAGGCTCAGTGGTTTGGCCAGGGTCTTACAGGTGGCCAGTGGCAGGACTGGGATTGGATTTGAGGGCTGTCAGCCCCCATGGGCCTGGAACAGGCAGCCCCAGTTGATTCATTCCTTTATTCTTTCCCTGTTTAATTTACTAGAGCAACCCTGGCTCCAGCTTGCAGGCCTGGCTTGCACTAGGTGCTTAACACATGCTCAATCAAAGCATGGCATGGCACATTCAAAGGCCTCTTGTTGCATCCTCCCACGCCAGGTGTGGGGTGTGACAAGTCCCTGTCTTTGCCTTCAGAGGCACCTCGTCAAATTCCAAGGGGCAAACTAGAGGTAGGACACCCTGGTGGTGCCATGGCCTGGGCCTTGTGGGCCTGGCCCAGGCTGCTCCGGGTGGCGGCCTCACCTGGAAGCTGCTGAGGGCCACGTAGACTTGGCTGCAGCCCTCGTATGGGCAGTGGAACATCTCCAGCAGGCCGTCAGCGTCCATCACCCGCGACCGCTTGCTCCGCCGCCTCCTGGAGGGGAAGGGGCCATGACATCAGGGCTCCCACACCAGGCAGGCTGGGGGACTGCAGGCCGCTCCTAGCCCTCGCCCTCACCCTTGCCCACCCCGGCACCCACTTTTCGGGCTCCTTGGGGATTTCGTAGATGATGGCTGACATATCGCTGCCATCCAGCTCCTCCCCGTCTGCCTCTGCCTCGGGCTCTGCGCTTTCAGGCACCGTCGTTGCCAGTTCCGGGGCTACTGGCTCCTCCTTCTCCTCCTTCTTGAGCAAGCATAGGTCCTCCTTCTCTACGGGGTGGACACAGGGTGGTGTCCGCAGGGGACGAAGGCTGCCAAGGTGCCCACTTCGAGGGCCACTCCTCACCCGGCCCCTCCCAGGCCCAACCACCCCTGGCCAGAGGCCATGGCAGCTCCCCCAGACCTTTCTTGGTCTCGATGCCTGCTACTGCAGTGGCGTCCGTGGTGCTAGGCTGGCTACCCTCGGGCTCTGTCTGGGTGTAGGCCGCCACACCCTCCATCATGGCACAGGGCCCCTCCTCGCCCAGGCCACCGCTGGGGGCACCGCTGCCCGCTGCCATGTTGAGGTGAATGCCCTCGGCCGTGAGAGCGTCGTAGCCAGGGCCCGCGATGATGATCACCTGTGAGCCGGGCACCATGCCTGGCATGGGGCAGCTGGCCACCACCTCACCCAGGGCCTCCTGGGGCACGTTCTCAAAGAGGGCGCCGGGGCCCGCACCCACTTGCACAGGCACCGGGACGCACACCACCGTCTCCAGGGCTTCGGGCCCACTGCCTGCTGGGTTGGGGCACAGCGGGGTACCCTGCTCAGCCAGGCTCTCCACATGGTGGACGTCAAAGGGGATGTGCACGCCCTCCTGAGTGATGAGCCCGCTGCTGCCCACCGGGCTGGTGGGCGTCACCGCCGCTGCCGCTGCTGCAGCCTTGACTGGCTGGCCTTCAGGGGGCTCCTCAGAGTCAGAGCCAGAGCCAGAGCTGGACGAGTCGGAGCTGCCGGCCACCAGCCCATTGCCCACTGTGGGGACAGAAGAAAGGGAATGGTTATGATAGCTGCAGCCACTGGTATTTGCTTATTTAGTTTCTATTTTATTTTTCTCTTTTCTTTCTTTTTTTTTGAGACAGAGTCTTACTCTGTCGCACAGGCTGGAATGCAGTGGTGCAATCTCAGCTCACTGCAACCTTGGCATCCCAGTTCCAGTGATTCTCCTGCCTCAGCCTCCCAAGTAGTTGGGACTACAGGCG